GGCGCGGGGAGCGGATCGTCGCTCGGAGAGGGGCTCTGCGCGGACAGCTCCACGACACTTCGCGCGGAGGCCGCTGCCTTCAAGCTGGCAGAGCAGGGAAGAGCGGCCAGGTGGCCCGGGGCCCCGTGGGGTCAGCCCCGCGGAGGAGGTGACGGGCGCCCACCGAGAGGACGTGGCGGTGCTCCGAAGAGCCCGAATCGGGTGCACGGTAGCGGGAAGGGGCCGATCCCCCTGCCGGTGGCTGGGCCAAGCCACCGACTTCCTCCAAGGGAGCGGGACTGGCCGTGGGATTCAGGGAGACGGAGGGGAGGAGCGGAGCTGGAGCACTGGTGAGGCCCCGGCCGGGGCCCAACTCTGAGCCGCTGAGCGGCCACCGCAGCCCGGCCCCCGCCCCGGCCCGCCTGCCCGCCGCGGTATTTTCCTCCCAGATGGAGAGGCTGCAACGCCGTCCAGAGCTGGGCAAGCTCGCGGCAGCTGGACCCCAGGCAGGAGCCAGCTCCAAGGCCGCCTGGGACTGGGGCTTAGGGGGCTGGGCCCCCTTTCGGGGTCAGCATTGCGGGGTTTTATTGCCCTTCCTCCTTTATAGGGAGGTAGGGACGGTGGAGACATCTTGCTCAGTGGCAGAATGCCATCTTAGAGGCTTAAGAGCTGCACGCACGATTTTAGAGGCATTACCGAAAAAAATTTGGTTTTACAGCTCTTATTTCCTTATTAGGACTTTCCTTCTTTCTCAACTTTTCCGAGAAATCCTAAGAGGAGAGAGGCACAGCTTGGCCTAGGGGCCAGTTAATTCTTCCAGCTTCCACTGCCTCAGTCGGAGAGGTCAGCCTTCTGCTGTGGAAGTAGAGAGAGCTTCTTAACCCGTCACTCGTCGGAGGGATGTGTGGTACCTGCTTCAGACCAGGGCCAGCTGCCCCAGGCTTGGTTCACACCCTGCACTGCCCCTCACCGGATGTGTGATCTTAGGCTACTTCCAGAATCCCTAAGCTTACTATAAGCTCGGTGCCTCAGTTTCTTGCCCTGTGGAAATGGGCTTTAAGACTAGCTGTCTCGAAATGTTGCTGTGATGAGTAAATGAATTCAGACATGTTCAATCCTAAAAACTGTACAGAGCCTACAGTAAGTGCTCAAGAAAAGTGAGTTGTGCCAATGGCAGACTCCTCTAGCACCAGGTTCCTGCCCACAGCTAGGGGAGGCCTGTCCCAGAGGGTGAGGTGGCCGTGTTGGAAATTCCCCTGGGACTTGGGGGGAGCAAAGGAAAGCTATTCAGAGAAGTAGAAGAGATAACAATGAAAAGGGGCAGGGGAGAGAGTGAGACAGTTCACTACTAGGAGGGGAGCAGAGATGTGCAACGGGCAAGAGTCGGGGGAGAGGGGCGGGGGAGCCAAAACAAAAAGCATGTGGATCTGCAAGAATTCTTCAAGGAGCCCTGCCAGTCTGCACCAGGGACCTGCCGCCTGTCTTAAGTTTCCCACCCTCCGTGAGTTTGAGAGGAAAATTTTGGGTGTTTCATGACCGATTCTGAGACCTCTTGCCTGATCCCATTCGCTTTTGTTTCATTTGTAGAAGGGGGTAGAGGTGAACCTTTTGGCCTGCCTGAAAGCATCTTGTGCACTTTGCTCTTTCTGATACGTGAATCAGGATGTTTACCACACTTGCCGTTCCCCAGAATCCTCTAGTGTGTGGAATGAGGGGAGCAGAGAGGGTTCCTGGGAGCATCAACTACTACTCTCCCTGCAGAAGCATCTTCCAGACAAGGGAACCTTCTGACATAGACCTCTCAGACTCAGCACCATGGGGGGTGGCTCAGAGCATCATCTGGGTCCAAATTATCATCCAAAATACAAGAGTGGTCATCTTGCTGTCCTCACAGGGACAACTGCCTGCAGTGCCCTGTTGATTTTCGTGATTATATAGTTGGTGGCCTTTGCCTTCTGATTTGACTCAGCTAGCTGTGGACAGGGAATGCGTTGGGTTTTGCTCCCTGCTGACCATAGCACCCATCTCATGCCAGTCACATGCTAAATTCTCAATAAAGAGTTCCTGGATGAGTTAATTTTAAAAAGCGTTATTTATTGCAAGCATCAAATAATGTAATGGACAGAAAAACACTTTGAAAAATGGAAAATGCTACAGTCATATCCTCTTACATCCCAGTAGATTCTGGACAGAGGACGAGATTGGGCAAGTTAGTGACTGCAGATCATCCGCTGTTCTGCTTTGCAGCCAAGACTCAAAAGTCAGTCCTCAGTTTCAGCCCTGGGTTCTTGGCAGTTCCCCTGGATGACTCTACAGTGAGCTGGAAAGTTCTTATTAAGTGACTCTGTGGTGAAACATCCCTAAAACATGACCTTATCGATATAAAAAATGAACAGCAGACATTTTTCCCCCAGTCGCTGATGGGTTAACCTGGCAAGACTCTTTCTAGCCCCACTTCCTTTCTTTTTACGATATATTTTTCACCAGCTAGCAGAGAAGTCTTCTCTCTCTCGTTCTCCTCTTTTTTTCTAGAGATGTGATATTTTAGGAAAGCACTTCTGATGCCCCGGCCCATTTCCAGGACCCCAGATCTGGGGCTCCGTGTCAAAGACGTATGTCTGCAAACGTTCTTCCTTCTCTCCCTGAGTGTGTCTCTCCAACTGGTAACAGTCGCAGCTGGAGTGCCTGCACAGTGAGTTCCCGGGGGAGCTCTGACATTGATTTAACACTCACCACCACCACCCCACCCCACCCCCACGACGTTTTCAGAGCAACAGCAAAGCTCTCAGTATGAATGGTTAAGGGAATTGATTTCATCTTTTCCCCATGCCCTTTCTTGGCACACCAGAGTGGAAAGATCCTAATGGGTTTGGATGCCATCTGGGTGATTGTGCAGAAAAGGCAAGAGCTGCCTTGCTTGTCGAAGGTGAGTCCAGAGCTGCTGGCCACGTGGTGTTTTGTTCTGGGCAGCATTTTACTTCAGGTTCTTGGGGCTGTGAGGCCCTGGCCCAGCTTCCCTTAGATAAAAAGAAGTGATGTGCGCCACTGTGTATAAAACAGATGAACAATAAGGACCTGCTGTATAGCACAGGGAACTGTATTCCATTTCTTTTAATAATGTACAATGGAAAGAACCTGAAAAGAAAATACATATCTGTATGTATATGTATAACTGAATCACTTTGCTGGGACACTTGGAACTAATACTGTAAATCAACTACACTTCAATAAAAATGTTGTTAAAAAAAAAGTGACGTAGGGATGTACAGACTGACCCTGAAAGTGGGGGGCCAGGAGGAGGAAGGCAGCTTGTCTCTCTGGCTCTGGCCCCTCTGTCTCTCTTCTTGCCCCCTCCCTTCTCACTCTGCTCCACTCTCTCCCAGCCCATAGACTTTCTCTGTTAAGTCCTGGGATCGGTCCTGAAAGTTTTCTGCGTGTTTGTGGCCCCAGCCCCACCACAGCCAACATCGTGGCAATGGTCAAAATAATCCTATCAGCTTCTCTTCCACTGTTGCCCCACTCTGGGTTTTAGTTTTTCCAGGAGCGGAGTCTGATTGGCAGACCTCGCTCTGTTGGAGGTCAATAACCCAAGTGCCCAGGCAACAGGTGCTCAGCCTCAAGAGAACCTCATGTCCTTAAACACCTCAAGAGTAAACATGTGGAAGGAGGGCTGTACAGGAGGTTTTGCAATTCAGGGAATGCGGGCCCCACGGTCCTTAAGTCTCCTTCCAACCTTGACAATCTTGAGGCGTTCGCGTCAGCAGAGGCGATAAACAGAGCCACACACGACACCAGTCACAGATTAGATCCCACAGCTGAGGCAGCTGACGAGTCTTGTCCAATCATGACTCCCCTAATCTCTTTGCCAGAATTTGGCTCAGGAGTAAGTAGACTGAATCCCTGTGTGGATCAACAAGATTGAGAGAAATATACTTGGGTCTTGAAGGAAAGAAGTTCTTAAATGTAAGCCCTGGGAAGCTTCTCTTTATTTCCAACCGGACATGAACAAGAAAGTATTTTTTACTCAGTTTCTCTGGAAGACATCCCATGCACATGAGGGAACCCAAATTAAAGCTAAGTAGATCCAGAGCCCAGATCACACCATGTCTGAAGCCTACCTTCTAGCCTTTCTTTTGTATGTGTCAATACAATTATTTTGTTCAGGCCACTTTAGATCATAGTTCTATTACTTGCAGCCAGTCACTCAATAAACCTGTATGCAACTACAGCCAGGATTATCTTCCCTAAGTCCCCCTTAAGGAAAGTCATTCCCCCAAGTCACTCCCAAATTAAAACCCTTGAACCTTCAATGGCTCCCATTGCTTTGGGAAGTAAATCCAAACTTCAGAGCCTAGCAATCAAAGTCCTCCTTGATGTGGTCCCAATGTATGTTTATCACTTGTTTTCCTTCACTGTTCCTCTTTATAAACCCCACATAGCAGACATGACTCAGCCCAGGAGCTCTGGTGAAATTCCGTGTTAGTATGGCCTTGAAATCAACGTAGATCTCCATGTGGCTGGGCTGGAGAAGATTTCCCTAACATCCAGCATGGGGCTTTTCAACCCTTGAGATTGCAAAGATCCAGAGATCTAACGCAGGGCCCGGTAAGAGGGAGCTCTGCTTCTTAGCGGCACTCAGTGTACCAGCACAGTCTCCCTCTGCCAGACCCACACAGGACCGTGGTTCCTAAACACCCTTGTCCTGCGGTCCAGTGTCCCTGGATGTCTTAGTTTCCCAGGGCTTCCAGAACAAATGACCACAAACTGGGTGGCCAAAAACAGCAGAAATTTATTTTCTCACAGTTCAGGAGGCCAGAAGTCTGAAATCAAGGTGTCAGCAGGATTGGTTCCTTTTGGATGTTCTGAGAGAATCCGTCTCCTGCCTGTCTCCCAGCTTCTGATGGCTTTTGGCAATCCATGGCCTTCCTTGGCTTGGAGAAGCATCACTTTGGTCCCTGCCCGTATCTTCACCTGGATGTGTGTGTGTCTGTATATGTCTTCTCCTCTTAGAAGAACACCAGGACTTAGGGCCCACCCTATAGTAGCATAATCTCATCTCAGTTTATTTAACTACATGTACAATTAAGATTACACTCTGAGGTTCCTGGGGGAACGTGAATTTGGCGGGGGAGGCCCATCCAACCCTCTATAGCAGGGGTGCTCCACCTGCCTGCTCACCTCTCTCGAGAGCTCCACCCTCCATGGAGCGCCAGCTGACCTCCAGCCTCAGAGATCCTTTTTGTCACTTTCCCACCTAGTGTTCTCCACGCCTCTCTCCTTTTCCTATGTAAGTGGATTTCAACGAAATCCTACTTTTAATTTTCCCTTTGCTAAAAGGTTTTGAAGAAAGGAAATATCCAAGGCATGGCTTGAAATGGGGAAAATGGGAACAGAGAGGGGACAGAAGCCATGAACTAATATTTAAATAGGGTGTCCTTGAACTTATTTACGAAACAGAAACAGGCTTACAGACAGAAAACAAACTTCTGGCGGTGGGGAGGGTGTTGCTCGGTGGTAGAGTGCATGCTTAGCATGCGCCGGGTCCTGGGTTCAAACCTAGGACCTCTATTTAAATAAATAACTAAAGCTAATTGCCCCCTCCCCCCACAAAACAAACAAACAAAAAACCAAACAAACCAAAAATACAATACAGACTTATAGTTGGTGGGGCCTGGGGGGAAGGGGTGGGGGAAATTGGAAGTTCAGGATTTGCAGATACTAACTACTATATATAAAATAGATAAACAACAAGGTCCTACTATGTAACACATATTATAGGATATTTAATATCCTGTAGTAACCCATAATGAAAAAGAATACAAAGAAGGATAAAAAATAAATAAATAGGGTGTCCTGCCATGCCCGTCACACCTGTGTTCTGCACGCATTGCCAGTCGTCTAGAAAACCCGCCTCCAGGCTCTGCTTGTGGATTGTTGGTGTCCGAGAAGGCTGTGAATCAGCCTGCACGGTTTTCTAGGTGGAGTAGACGGGCTGCCCCCATGTGAAGCTGTTACTGCTAATCCGTTGTTCCCTGTGCAGTTTTTGTCTCCTTCCTTTATGAAACCCTACTGTGTCTTTCTCAGAATCTGTTGTTATTCCTTTGTACATCTGTAGTTTATTTGCATATTAAGCTGCATTTCCAGCCAGATGGGAAGGTCCTGGAGGAAAGGCATGATCATTTACTTTACTCAACAAAAATGTACTGAGCGCCTACTACGTGTCAGACACTGTGCTGCAGGCTGGGGACGAGCAGGACACAGCTCCAGTCCTGTTGGAGCCATGCTCCGCGGGGCATGGACGGGGTGCTGGCTGTTTCACCACACTTGGGCAGCTGTGATAGGCTAATGGGTGGGTGTAGTAAGGTCACTTACGGGTTGTTGGTTTGCAACCTTGGGAACTTCCCAGGTGAAACCTGAAACCAGTGCGATACATGGAAACAAGGAGAGACCAAAGAAAGAGGCAGATACTCCAGATTCATAGGTGGTAGCTTTCACAAGCAGGGAAACTTACTTATGAGGCTCATTTCGGGCAGCAAGATGAGCAGATCTCTGCACCTGCCTGCCAGAATCTTAAGAGTTTATAGAGAAGCCTTAACAGGGGTCAGTTACCTATGCCATCCCCAGGGACAGGACAACGCATGCACTCTCAGGGCTGTGTCCTTGAAAACGGCTCCCACTGTGGGGATGGCGGGCAGAGCTTACGTCCCAGGGACGAGGGCGGGGATGAGGAGCCTTCGATTGCCTGGGTCCAGCTCACAGGTCAGCCGGAGGTTACGTCCTCTCAGTGACCTCCTCCAACATTTTTTTTTATGTCTGGCTTTACAAAGCCACATAGCCTTGGGCAGTCGCATTTTCAGGACTGAGTTGCAAGACCCGGGAAATGCCAGATTCACAGGCAACGGGTGGTGGTGGAGACTAGGCGTGGCTGTGATCACTTGGGGACATTGTGAGGAATGACAAGAGGGAGGAGGATGGAGCCCCGAGGACATGGGGATTGTCAGTAAATGTTTATGGGATAAATAATTTCTTCAAGAACCTGACTCTTTTGATAGCCCTCCCAGGTTAGTGGTTCTTCAGTCTGGCTCC